GGAAGAGAGAGATCAGAAAAGCCACAGTATGGTGTGTAAGATTAAACGTGTTCACTAAGGCCCATGATTTCCCGAAGCTGTTAAAAATGAGAGGTTTTATGACTTGAACGTGGAGTACTTCGCTTCGTCTGTCAACAGGTTTAGTTTTCAAGTTTCACAAACGTGACTACCGTGAGATGTATGCGACGTAGCCGTTACCATGGAAAAGAAAATTAGAGGATTACCCATGATAAACGAGAATTCTGTCTTTGATAAAATGAAGAATTTTCTCAAAATATTCCAGGTACCTCATGTTGATAACCTGGCCCCTGTAAGAAAAAAGAAATTAAGAATTTTTACAAACGCGCATGTTCCAAACGACGTCTAATTTCCAAGTGAATGCGACAGAACAGGGTGGCTACGAGAACAGCGCGGCAAGATACTGGGAAAGCCACGCGTTCGCTCCCATGGCTAGAGAAGCAATACCGCGTCTCGGGGCACAGAGGGGCGCTCGGCCCCCGTCCCTGACTTGCAGTGTCCGGACGGAAGAGCAGCGGCCCAGGGACCGGCTTGCCCTCCCAGGCCGGCGGCCTGGCGAGCAGCTGGCGTCGGCGATCCCGGCAACGGACCTGCGCAAGACGCCTCCGAGCCAAGCTCCATTATCGGGGTGTCCTGGGGCATGAAACGGTCCCCATCTAATTACGTTCTATGACATTTCGGAAAGACTAACGTCCCGGGCAAACCCCGGGCAGTCGACCCTTCGCGTGAGCCTGGGGGAGCACGGCGGGCAATACGTTTCCTTCTGCGACCGGACCAGGCAGGACTCTGCAGGCGGCTCTGGCCACGAGTCACCGGGAAGGAGCGGTGAGTGGCTTGTGGTCCCCACGGCCCGTGCACGTGGAGCGAACCGCTGTGAAAACAGGCGAGGCCCACAGGCGGCTCCTACCGGATCAAGTTGATGTGGTTGGTGAAGCCTCTGCTCAGACTCCGTGCTGGCATCTGATCCAACCACAGCACTGGCTGGTCTGGGTCGGCGACCCTGCGGGACAGAGCCGCGTAAAGATGGACGCGCACGACCTGGCCGTGCCGCAGAGCACGACAGCGCGACAGGCAGAGCATCTGCAAGATCGGGGGAAGGCGGCGCCGGGCCTGGAACGCAGGCCGCGAATTCCGCTGGGGAGAAGCCAGCGCGGTCGCCGGGAGGGCGGCATGGACGACGCGCGCTTCGGCCTCCAGGGCACGTGCACGGAAGGCCTCGGCAGGTGCCACAGTGCAACTCGGCCTTGCAACGAGACCGCTTTCCCAAAGCCTCGCGTCAAACGCGCTCGGCCACAGTGAAATCGGTCCCTTTCTCATACGGGTTAGTTGGGTGCATGTCAAGGAACGGCGGGCCCTGGAGAGGAAACGACTCCGGGCCGTCGTCAGTAAATGAGCGGGGGCCAGGGCAGGGGCCGAGAGCGGGGGCTGAGAGAGGGGGCCGAGCCCGTGGGCCGGGACGGGGAGGGGGGCGCATGCCCTCCCAGCGGGTCTACAGCATCCACCGCCGCCGCCCGTGCTTACCGTCTCCACTTGACCGCGATGTCGAACATGTCCCGCCACTGCATGGGCCGCGTCCGCCCGCCCGTCCGGACCTTGGCGTTGGCCCAGGTGCGCTGCACGGCGTGCATGACCTCCAGCGCGGCCAAGCCCATGGCTGCAGGGGGCGACATTGGGGAAGCGAGTCGGTAAGAACTCGTCAGGGGGACAGACGGCCGCCGCGTCTCCACGGCAGGAGCCCAGTCACCACACAGGCGACCCACAATACTGCGGGGTCCGGGGCGCCAGCCCCCACACAGTCGGAACTCCGAATGTAACTTCCGACTCCCCCAAAACCCAACTGCTCACAGCCTCCGCTCCGGAAGCCTGTGTGACGACGTGAACGGCGGCCGACACGGGCCGTGGGTGATCCGCTCGGGGTGCCGTGACCTGGCATGAAGCCAGGCGGAGCCAGGGAGGAGACACTGACAGCATTCGCCGACGCCACACGCTATGTCGCGTTTACAAGACAGAACGTCTCACGTGACACGCGCCCTGGAGACATATGCGTCCCTAGCACCGGCGTCGGGAGGAACGAAAGGGCGATGTGAAAAAGAAACTCTCGTTTGTTTACGGGCGCCGCGGCTCGCGCACGACGAGTGCCAGCCCAGCGTCGTGGGCGGGGCGCTCCCGGGGGCGAGCGAACACCCGCGAGGTCTCCCGGGACGTTTACTGGACAGACAGCCCTGCGAGTGAGCGACCGTGCCCGCAAACCCGCGTCGCCCCGGGCTCCGCTGCACAAAGTCAGGGCCGGCAATTTAACGAGACGGGGACGTGGCAGTCCCCACGGCCACACTGAAATGAACTCTATCCAAGGAGACAGGGACACAGCTGTCTCCTCCCGACGCCGACCCCACTGGAGCACCTGGCTCGGACGCCCCCTCCCGCCCACGGCGAGGCCATGGCTGGCGCGGCTGAGCCGTCTGGTCTGCCGTCGTGACTCTGGCCCCACGGCGAGGCCACGGCCGCCAGCCGGGAGCCAGGCCTGGGAGCACGCGCCCCCAGGACTCAGGTGGGGGGATCTACCCATTTCCGTCACGGTCACGTGGAGGTTCTGAGTGAGCCCAATGACGGTATTTTTAAGAGATGACGTGGCTTAGCGATCCTCGCGCTTCTGTCAGAAATATTTCCATTTCCGGGCGGTTCCGACGTACCTCTGTGTACCCTCTTGTTGGGCAGGAATCCGGGGGTCTCGTACTGCATCAGGGAACCCAAACGGTCAGCTACGCAGATCAGCTCTTGCACCTCGGGCTTGTAGCTCTCAAAGTTCTGATGTGACACGTCTCTGGAAGAAACAGTGCAGGCGTGGTGAGGGCTCGGACGGCACGCACCGGGCAGTCCAATTTCTCCCGAAAACGGGGAAAACCCACCCAGAAATCTGCCAGCGCTTAATCTCCACCCTCGGCTCCGAGCCTGGGCGCCGGCCCCTCCGGGGTTATCCCGGTGACTTGTGGTCCTTTGTCCTTCCACACAACTTACAGAATTAGCTCCCCGAGTTCCTCAAAAAAGTTTCTGGGGATTTTGAATGGCATTTTATCGCACCTATAATTAATTTGGAGAGGACGGACCTATTGACATCACGGAGCCTCCCACTCGTGAACGGTATTTTTCTCCATTTAATTTTCCCGTAGTAACTTGCGACAAAGCTCTAAGTGACTACAGCCATCGACGCTGACGCGGCTGCACGGGGTCTTTCGGCTGGGGCTGTCCCGGAACCACCGGCCCGTTCTGTCACTTTCGATCCCGGTGTCCGTACGCACTCAGGGGCCTCTCGTAAAAAGCACAGAACTCGAATCAAGCAAATTCCAATCCAACACTGTCTATCTTTTAACTGCTGTTTAGTCCATTTATATTTACTGTCATTGTTGATACGTCTGGATTTATTTCAACCTATTCTTATTTCTTTCTGTTTGTCTCGATTTTTAGGATGTCCCCCCTCCCTCTTTTCCGGTTGATTTTGGATTTAATTTTTTATTTTTTTTTTTCTCTTTATGTTTTCATTTCTGTTCTAATATGGACGCTGTGCACTCGACTGTTTCTAACTTTCAGTACTTAGCCGAGGCATTTTAAAGATTTATAGATAACTTAATATCTTAACATTTAACTCACGTTCGCTTAGAATGCTTCCTCATTATCCCTCGACTTACTTATTTTGCCCAGGATATTATTTCTGTCCTTTTCATAAGCCCCCAAATTAGATGTCATTTTGCAAAGACGACGTTTATTTAGATTTACCAATGTGCCACGCTTACCCATTTATTTCTCATTATTACTTCTCATATCTTAGCTCTTACTCCTGGGGTCACCTGCCTTCTTCCTTAAATACATGCTTCGGATGTTCCTTCAGGAAATGCCAGTCCGCGGTTGAGCCAGTTTTTGATTTTCAAATATACATCTATTCGGATTGGTCTCTAATCTTTCAAGGTAGCTCTGCTGGGTACAGAATTCTAGGCTGAACAGAATCTTCTTTCAGGACTTTGAAGCTATGACTCCATCATCTTCAAGCTGCCCCTGCTGAGGTTGAGGAGTTTATGGTCAGTCAGTCCAATGCCTGACTCTAAGTAGGTGACAGGACTGTGTTCAAGATTTTCCTCCTTACCCTTATTCTCCAGTTACTTTTGCTGCACCTGGATGTTGCACCTGGATGTTGCACCTGGATGTTGTACCCGGATGTGGATTTTTAAAACACCTGTGGATTTACGTGTTCCCTCACGTCTCTGGAATTCTTAGCCATCATTTCATCAAGCATTGCCTCTCCCCCCTGCTCTCCTTCTGACAGACACCAGACCTTCTTACGTCTCCCACACCTTCTCTCTCTCGTTCACGTGTCCTGACTCCTTGACTCCGCTACGTTCTGGATCATTTCTAATGCTCTATTTTCTACCTGCAACGTGCTATGTCTAATCTGCTGCTGAGCTACAGACTGAATTCTTTGTTTCGATGATTATGCTTTCTATTCCTAAAGCTTCCAATGATCATCTTTTTAAAATCTGTCTGCCTGGTCATTTTTTATAACTTCCTTGTCCACGTTTGTGATTTCTTCACAATTTCTTCACTATTTCATCTGGAGTTATGTTAGAGTCTGCTTTCAGCAATCACGACATCCGAAGTCCTTGAGGGCCTAAGTCTGCTGTTCGCTGTTTCTGTCGGTGCTCACGTGTGGTTGTGGTAATCTCGAGTTTTGATTCTCGTACGAATGATCCTAATCTGTGGGAATACTCCGGGCCCAAACTGGCACTAATCCCTCCCCGGGAAGGGTCTGCATGTGCTTCTGCTGAGATCCTGGAAGTGCGTCCGACGCGGGGTCTCAGCCCTTTCGAGTTCGGCAGACCCGCGGCCTGAGCCAGGGCATTACGGCGGCAGCCGCTGGACGCGCCGACCCCCGGGGCACTGCCGCAGCAGTGCTTGCCTAGGAGACTAATTTCAAACTTCCACTATGTTAACTAACTTGCTTTAAAAGTAACACGGTACGAGAACAATGCCTTTCAAGGACCGCCAATAAGCGCGAATACGTCCGAAGACTGAAGGTTGCCCAAAATCGGCAGGGAAGCCCAGGCTAGAAGGAAAGACGAAGGCCTAGGGTAAGTTTCCGGGTACTTTATAAACCAAAAGCAGTGTCTGCGGACACGTCAAGTCCAAAAGCAAATTCATCGGCAACGCGGAAAGCCGTCTATCGACTGAGAGAGATCAGCACCGGCTTACAGCTCGGCGTCAAGAGGAAGACGAGCCTCGTCCGAACGCTTACTTGATGTGGGGCTGCAGCCCCGGCTGCTCCTTGTAGTCCTCCAGGAGGAAGGGCAGGTTTTTGGCCCAGCGGTCTTTGAAGCTTCCGGGCAGGTCCACGTCGACGCTGTACTCCGTGAGGGGAGTGTCGAGGTGCGCGTGGAGGTACCGAGAGTACTCTGCGGACAGGAAACGAGATCAGACGCCCCGACACCGCCAAAGAAGCACTTGCTTGTGGCTGCTGCCATGCAAACACTTTGCAGCCACTTACTTGTGATAAGAATTCTGCGTGAAGACCCCAAACTTTAGTAAGCTGGACTATCACCCACGACAGACAATCGGACAGACCTTCCTCCCGTACTGGCTGGCGTTAACCGGGGCAAAACGCGAGCCAGTCGCCCTGGGCGCTTCGGCAGACGTCAACCACCTTTCCACGAACAACGCCAAACTCCAGAGTCTGCGAACCCAAGTGCGGTGTCAGACTGGGTCTGGCTCTGTCCCTGGCAGATGAGCTTCCTACATATGCAATTTCGCCGACCGGCCAAGTGCCGCTTGTCCCCACGAAGCAGCGCAGGAAACGCCCGGGGTGGAGACCCCTTCCTTCAGCCTACAGCCCACGCCCAAGTTCTCCGAAGCCAGGGAAAGACAGGGAACGGGAATTTAGAGAAAAGAGCTGGGCTGTCCAATGCGGAGGCCCCAACCACTTGGCTACTGAGAACTTGAAACGTGGCGACGGTGACTGAGAAACTGAATTAAAAATTTTTATTTAATGCGAATGAATTTAAACTGAAAAACTGGTATTTGATTCAATTATTAGACAGTATTGGTATGTCTGGAACAACTTGCATATACGAATCTACTTTTTTAACTTTAAATTGGATGAAATCTAAATTTAAACCAAATATTTCCAATGAAAATTTAGTATCCAGATTGAGATGTATTGTAATACACAGCAGATTTCAAAGACTCAGCACAAAAACAAATAGTAAAGTGTCTAATGAATACTGTCTTCATATTAATTATATATTGAACTAATCATGTTGTCAATATGCTGAATTCAATAAAATGTATTATTAAAATTCATTCCACCTGTTTGTTTTTACTTTTTAGTGTGGATACTAATAATTTGAAATTACATACATGGCTTGCGATTTTTTTTTTTCAGTTGGCTAAAGGTAACAAAAGAAAGAAAAGATACAGTCTATGGCCACGCCACCCTGAACGCGCTGGTCCCACCTGACCTCGGAAGCTAAGCGGGGTCGGGCCTGGTTAGTACTGGGATGGGAGACCACCTGGGAAGACCAGGTGCTGTGGGCGTAAAAAATAAAAACTAACGGATTGTAAGCTGACAAGGTGCTTGCAGTCTGTGAGGTCAACCAAGGCGGTTGCCTCGCCTAAAAAAAAAATTAAAAAAAAATAAAAAGAAGAGAGAGGATATGAAAGTAAAGATTTGGGCTTTATACGAAAAACAAGTGTCTTTACGTGTGGCCATGAGAAGGTGACGAGGACGATGACTGAAGACAGGGTAACTCAGACACGTGCTCTCCTCACCCCAAACTGTGCGAGCGTTGTGGTCCGAAGTGACAACGGACCGAAGATGACACGCTCACCGCCCACAGTGAAACCCTCACAGAACGCTACCTTCCTGCCACTCCTACATCTCTGGATGGCGCATGATGAGTCATGAATACCAAATGACTGCCACGTTCACTTCAAACTATATTTTTTTGACTTGAGCAAAAGCTTTTTAACTTTAGGAAGAAAACACATAGGACGTGGCAGAAAGACCACTGAACAGGTCTTTATAAGACACGCACTCTGTCCCGTCTGGCCCCTGCCGACGGCCCGGGGCTGGCTGGGGACGGGCCACTCGGCCTCTCCAACACGCAGCTGTCTCCTCGGGCACGCAGGACAGACAAGCAACCGATTTCCGCCGCTTCGAGCCCTAAACGAACGATTCCGCGATGCTCCGACTCACCTCGGAGGTACTTCACCTTGAGGTACTCGGGGCTGGCCTTCTGGCCCGGCAGTGGGTCACTGAGCATCACCTTGGTCTGCGCTTTTACCCCCTCGTAGAACTGCCCCATCGCGACGTGGCTGAGCCCCTTCATGTACTGGCACACCTCGTTGTAGGGCTCGAGCTGCAGACAGCGCTGAGGCGCCGAGGAGACAGCGCGTCAGTGCTGGTGCCTCGTCCCCGCGTCCGTCTGTCCCCGCGTCTGTCCCCGCGTCCGTCTGTCCCCGCGTCTGTCCCCGCGTCTGTCCCCGCGTCTGTCCCCGGCTGCGCTCCGCGGGGCGCGGCTGCGGGTCCCCTTCTCCCCACCCGCTCCCGGGCGCGCACCTTGAAGCTCCTGAGCGCCCCCCGCAGGCTGCCGTGGTGGTACAGCAGCACCCCGCGCAGCTGCAGCGTCTGCACGTGGTTCTGGTCCAGCAGCAGCGCCTTCTGGAAGCTCTCGGTGGCTGCCTCGAAGTTGCCCAGTTCTCTGGGGATTCAACAACAGTTACGAACACAGTGGGCACCGCGGCGAACGTGCTCAGAAAGGCGTCCCAGAACCGGGGTCCGACCTGCAGAGAGACACCGCGAAGTGGTGTCCCCTTCCCCGTGTTCCCGCTCCGGAGCGGCGCGGCCTGACGCAGCACGTCTCACTCGCTTCCCCTGAGTCTCAGCCGGCCATGGGGTAACCACAGCGCTCCCGAAATT